TAAGAAGAGTTCGAAGGACTCCTATTTATAGTAAAAGTAGGTGACTATGGACCACATATTATATACTCTGTATTTGTTTGATGTGAGAAGAGTAAGTTGCATTTAAAATATAAACTGCAATCCGGCATGGAGGGAGGAGGGTTCTTAAATGTAATAAATGAGAAGGCCAGTTGAACTTATTCGGATGTTACTGAAAGCACAATAATGAAAGTTTTGAGGACTTTATTAGGATGTGACATATTGTTCAGTACATAAAACTAAGTACAAACCAAGTTAGAAGGAAATTGGTTCGATTAATGAGAAGAAGAGAAAAATAATTAGAAGAAAAATAAAATAGGCACACATAAGCGAGACAAGGATTTATACGTCTACGAGTGATGATGATTCGTATCACTATAAAAAAGAAGATTATAAACTGAAGAACGTGTTGGTTCTTCCCCACAATAATTTCTCTTCTCACACCACTAACTCACCAACAAAGAAGAGTCACACAACACTCTCAAGAAATACCCAAATAGTATATGGTTTACACAAAAAGAAAAAACCCAAGGACAAGCTTCAAGTGGCACTTGAAGATTGTACACACAAAAGGATTTTCTCACACACACAATATACTATTTTCATCTAAATGTTGTCTCTTGCTCAGATACTTTTCATCGAATGACTGCAAAACTATTTATAGCCAAAAATATACTTGGTGTCTAAGTATATTACAAAGCTTTCTTTGGAAGCCAAATAGCACTTGCTGCCCAAGAATTTTAAAGCTTCCTTTAGAAGCTAATTTGGAAGCTTCACCATCACACTTCTGTAGCTAATACATTATTTCCATGTCATAAATGTATTTGCATTAGTGGATCACTTTGTATTTGGATTCTATTACTTTGGGCCTTACAAATTGTCTTACAAATTTATTGGGATGTTTCTTATAAACTCTGAATGAAAATATGTACATAAGTATTAGGATAGATAATACAAATGTATTTGCATAAGTGGATCACTTGAGAGTTGTATTTGGATTCTATGACTTTGGGCCTTGCAAATTGTCTTACAAATTTATTGGGATGTTTCTTATAAATTATGAACGAAAATATGTACATAAGTATTAGAATAGGTAATACATACGTATTTGCATAAGTTGATCACTTGAGAGTTGTATTTGGATTCTATTACTTTGGCCTTGCAAATTGTTTTACACATTTATTGGGATGTTTCTTATAAATTATGAATGAAAATATGCACATAAGTATTAGGATAAGTCTTACATATTTATTTGCCTAAGTTGATCACTTGAGAGTTGTATTTGGATTCCATTACTTTGGGCCTTACAAATTGTCTTACATATTTATTAGAATGTTTCTTATAAATTATGAACGAAAATATGCACATAAGTATTAGGATAAGTCTTACATATGTATCTGCATATAAGTTAATCACTTGAGAGTTGTATTTAAATTCTATTACTTTGAGCTTTGCAAATTGTCTTACAAATTTATTGAGATGTTTATTATAAATTCTGAATAAATTCTGAACGAAAATATGTACATAAGTATTGCGATAGGTGTTACATATGTATTTGTATAAGTGGATCACTTGAGAGTTGTATTTGGATTCTATTACTTTGGGCTTTGCAAATTGTCTTACAAATTTATTAGGATGTTTCTTATAAATTCTGAATGAAAGTATGTACATAAGTATTGCGATAGGTTTTACATATATATTTACATAAGTGGATCACTTGAGAGTTGTATTTAGATTCTATTACTTTGGGCCTTGCAAATTGTCTTACAAATTTATTAGGATGTTTCTTATAAATTATTAACGAAAATATGTACATAAGTATTAGGATAAGTCTTACATATATATTTGCATAAGTTGATCACTTGAGAGTTGTATTTGGATTCTATTACTTTGGGCCTTTCAAATTGTTTTACAAATTTATTGGGATGTTTCTTATAAATTATGAACGAAAATATGTACATAAGTATTAGGATAGCTACTACATATATATTTGCATAAGTGGATTACTTGAGAGTTGTATTTGGATTCTATTACTTTGGGCTTTGCAAATTGGCTTACAAATTTATTAGGATGTTTATTATAAATTCTGAACGAAAATATGTACATAAGTATTGCGATAGGTGTTACATATGTATTTGCATAAGTGGATCACTTGAGAGTTGTATTTGGATTCTATTACTTTAGTCTTTGCAAATTGTCTTACAAATTTATTGGGATGTTTTTTATAAATTCTAAATAAAAATATGTACATAAGTATTGTGATAGGTTTTACATATGTATTTGCATAAGTGGATCACTTGAGAGTTGTATTTGGATTTTATTACTTTGGGCCTTGCAAATTGTTTCAATGCATTTGCCTCAATTCAAATACTTGACTCATACTCATATCTCAACCAATTACATTTCATAATACATGATCAAAACCACTTATCATGCATTTTCATAATACACAAAATTATATAAATTTGCCCAACCCCCCGAAATTGTTATAAAAGTCAACAACAATTAAGCAGAGTTAAATCAACAACATCATTAAAACAATGTGAAATACATAATGAAATGAATGTCAATAATGAAAGAGTCGTTCAATTGGTCGGTCCATCTCCGCGATTGGCATTTGGGACGTTGGCCTGACACTCGATTCACAATTATTTAAATCTGCTATCTTTCAATATGATCATGGCACAAAATATAATCAAATTAGATAATATCACAAGACATAAGAAAATTCTATAAAAAATATACTGGTACGAATTATGTTGGCAAGGACAACTACGTACCTTATCACTTCTGAAATCATCAATGAAGCAATCATCATGTGAATAATTGGTATTAGAATTGAATGAATTGGCAATAAAGGTCTGCACATTATATAGTTTTCCTTATACATTATAAACCATCAATTAAATAATTATGCAACTTTGTATATTGCAATTTATATGTTGGTTCCACCTTAACAACACACTTACTTGGTTAGTTAATGGAGTACTTACTTCACCAGGCGGTTGCCAAAACCTTGTGTGATGCATTACACGTTGTGGTGGCGTGACATAACTTTTTTCATTGAGAAATTCAGCTGGAATTTCACAGCCCTACAAAATAAATGTTGTAAAACATTTGACTAGAGATGTCCTTGTAACCATAATGAACATGTTAAACAATGTGCTGAAAATTGTTATGTAACAATACTCACATTCACTAACACGTGGTAGGGGATTGTTCCATTATGACTACTGCCACCTTCCGGATTAAAGGGCTTCATTGCAATTCTATAACACAATTATTAGAATTATTACATATGTATAATTTAATACACAGAACTGGAATTACTTATGAAAGTACTTGGAAAACAGTAAGGGGATAAAAGTACCTCAACCTGAACTGTTTGTTTCGTTGATTTCGTCTTATTGCGACTCTTTAGCTCCATGGTCGGTTTTAACCTCTTAAATTTTCCTTTCCGTGTATCTTTACACTTGAGGCCATTAGGGATTTTATCACTATTTATGTTGCTCCCCAAATATTAGTTTTTGCCTTTACGACCACTATAAATTGCATCCCTCTCAGCAAACCTACGCTTACAACTTGATTGGGTATTTTTTTTCCACTCCGTGGCTTTGAGTAACAAATCATTGTATCCGTCCTTATCTTCCGATATAATGGACGAAATTTCTGTTAGAAGACGACAAAGTACCTTGTGCCGTCTCTTAACCTCAATTTTCGGATCAACATTGGCAATCACTTCACCGGAAAGATTTTCCTCCAAGTTGCCATCTCTAGCAATTCTAGTCCACCTTCTTAATATATATCGACAAGGCAATGTATTGGTGAACATGCAGTCCTTTAGGATTTTCAAACTATGCCTGCACATAATACCCTCCCTTTCAAATTTATAACAGGAACATAGCAATTCATTTTCTGATATCCTCGTCACGTCGCGTTGCATCCCATCCTCACCAACGACTTTGTAAACACAGCCTCTGTTGCCATCAATGGGATTACAACCAATGATCCTCTGACTGGGACTAGCTGCTAAGAACTCATCCTGGAAAATATTAAATATAACCTTTGTGTACAAGTTTGCTGCCTTTACTAATATGTTACAGTTTGTTTTAAGTTGAGGTAGATTGTGGAGCAACTTATACTCGGCTACATATTCCTTGTAAAGCTTGTCGGACATCAGCCTTTCAAAGTGTGTGAAGAAATCTGGAAAAATCAGTTGCCTGGATAAGTATGCCTTTAAGCAACCATTGAAACTTTCACTCAGTTTTGTGCTGCGGATACTTACAGACCAGGCATGTTTGATAAATGCTATGGGCATCTATGTTTCAAACCTAATAGATTTATAAGCCATGTGTTACTAACAAGACCATATTCCATTATCATTAAATTCCATTCCCTGGTAAATTCTTTCTCCTCCTAAATTTGAAACATTAATTTTGATAACACCTTTTTTAAGCTTGCGCACGTCTAAACAAGAACGCTAGATGCTTCTGTGCATTTTGCATTAGGTGCCAAACACACAGATAATGTTTTGTCCCTGGCATCACCTACAAAATTATTTTCTGTAATATAACTACGTAATAACATGTACCAGATCTGAATTGAAATCACCTGCCTCAATGCCTTTCCCATTGCAGCATCTTAATCATTGAAGATCGTCTTTGGCGCTTTACCAGACATTGCTTTCAAAAACGTTTGAAACAACCAAACAAACGAATCTGCAGTCTCGTCATAAATGAACGCTGCTCCAAACACAACGGTCTACCGGTGATGATTCAACCCCAAGAAACTTCCAAATGGACTGTTGCCATGTACAACTTTGAATGTTGTGTCAAAACTTACAACATCTCCAAAATTGCAATAATCAACTATCATTTTTTAATCAGCCCAAAATATGTTACTGATCATTTGATCACTATCTAATTGGAATGCATAAAAGAAAGTTGGATCTTCACAAGACTGAATCTCAAAATAATTCATTATCATGCTTCTCCATATTCAAGCTCATTTTGTCTTCGGGTCCTTATATGATTTTGTAAATCCAACTTTATATACTCGACTGACTCTTTTCCACCAGCTTGCCTTCCCATCAACTCATATGAATTGCAAGGGGTTATTCCTGAATCAGAAGCCAATTCCAAATCAATTGCCTGAACGCGGGTAATTCTACACTGGGACGGCAGCATGTGCTTGCATTCATAAATCATCAATGGATGGTTGTGGCTTTCAACAAATTTTGTAACTTCCAACTTATGGGTATACTTGGAAACTTGTATAAGCATTCGAGCAAGGCAACCAGTTTGTGTTTCGGCCCTGGGAGTCTTTGTATTACTGTCCCGAATGTCGTCAACCCTAAAACCCTCCTTGCAGCATATTAACAATCTCGATGACAGTTTACCAGTCTTCTTGCTTTTATTAAAATACTCTTTGCGGATACTAAAATCGACTCGACCGGCATATGAATTATAGAAATCATATGCCTCTTCCTTAGTTTCAAACTTTATACCTATTCTTGGTTTCCATTCTACGACATCGGCCCCTGCAATAGGAGTGTTTTCTGTATATGTGGTGTCTTCGATGTTATTTAATACCTCTTCCATTCCAATAATTCAAATAAGAAACCTACAACATAAAAAATAAAAATAAAAAATTGATCAAAAGCTATCTTGCAGGTATGGATTATTAATTGAAATTTTTTTTCTAACTTATTAACATTATTCAAGATAGTATAATGTATCAGGGATCCAACTTTCTCAATTGCACATATTTTAATTTTGCTACAAATAACAAAATTAATGATTTATTTAACTTTTTCCAACTCAAACATGCACTTCCAAACTTTTTGGGCCTTCTATTTTAATAAAAATTACAACTATGTGTAATTATTTATTTAACTTTTTCCAAATCAAACATGGACTTGCAAACTTTTTTGGGCTTATTTTGAGAAACATTACAACCTTTTTAAGTTATTTGTAATGAACAATCATAACTCTCAATAGAAACTTACAGGAATACAATGAAAAATTTATTCTAACATCTTAAATTGGAAGTGTAAAACCTCCATTCAACCTCTATTTCTTATTATACAGAATATCCCAACTATTTTGTAGTATTTATCACGAATAAACACTGCATTACAAGAATACAATGGAAAATTTATTCTAACATCTTAAATTGGAAGTTTAAAACATAACATAACTTATAATACAAAATATCACAACTTTTTCACAATTTAATAATATAATTTTCACAATTTCTGATTCATTTTTTCACAATTTAATAACAGTTCAAGAATAACCAAACAAAACTAATGAAACACAATGTCATACGATTCACAAATTCACTTACAAAACCAGTACACTATAGTTTCGTCTTCCTCGACGTTCAATCAAACACAGGACACTGTAGCTTCATCTTCTCCGGTGTTTCGAAAGAAATTGTAAATTTGGAAAGAAGAAAATTAAGGAAAGCTGAGACTTTTTTGGGAAGAGGAATTTATTTCTTTCTATATTTTGGAAGAGAAGAAGAAAGAAGATTAAGAAGAGGTGCTATAGCTTCGTCACTGTAGCTTCGTCTTCTTCGACGTTCAATCAAACCTTTGGAAAGAAATTGTAAATTTGGAAAGAAGAAAATTAAGGAAAACAAAGCTGAGACTTTTTTTGGAAGAGGAATTTATTTATTTCTATATTTTGGGAGAGAATGAAGAAAGAAGGTTAGAAATTTAGAAGAGGCGCTAAATCTATTTCGGAACTTTCAATTTGGCGCTTAAATTTGAGTTTAAATAGGTATAATTTCGTATATGTGTATATATATAAGTTTGTATATGTGTGTGTGTATATATATATATATACCTTTTTTTACCCAAAGTCCTGTTTGGCCATTTTTGCCGCCGCTACAGTGCATGAACAGTAAGAATCGGGGGGAACAAATTCTCCTGGTCCACTGGAGACGATTTCGGTCCCCAGCGCTCTCTTAGGTATATTGACGCCGTGAAAAAGAGTCGTTAAGTTTCCACTATGCATGCACCACATTTTAAAGGGGGAAAAAAAAAACACACCCAAATCTGTCTACATAACCTGAAATACTGTTTTTCTCCCTATAAATCTCAAAACTTAACATTCAATATGAATACGTTTTTTTCTCCCTAATCAATATTTATTTTTTATTTTATTTTTTCTTCTTTTGGCTGTGTGATAAAAGAAAAAATCACAGTTCTTTTATTGTTTTACTCTTAATTCATTTCTTTCAAAATTTTTTTATATTTTTATTCAAACACTTGTTTTTGGTTGCTGTGAAATTGTAAACCTTACAAGATCTGCTCAACTCACTGTATTGGACAAAAAAATTTATAGTAAATAAAGAATGAATAATAGATTCTTTTGTCATGGGATAACAATATCTGAACTCCAGAAGTTTGACAATCGTCAATCTCATTGTATCAAATCTTATGGGCAACAAGATGAGACTGACAATCAAAGCTTACTTTCGAAAATTGTCTTGGTAAAATAATGAAAGCTTTCCAAATTTCCAATTAAGTTTAAATTCTCATAGTTTCGCTTCTCGCTCCAAAATAACCGCCATCAATAATGTCCTCTTGGACTGAACACTCAACTTCTTCTTTGAAAACTGATTATGAATGTTACAATTTTTGTTTTTTTACAATGAATAAGTAGATAAAGAAGTTGAATAGATTTCTATTTTAATATTGAATTTCACAAGCTATTAAAGGAAATAAATAAAAGTGCACTATCCTATGAACTTTTGACTATATCGCCATAATTTACTATCATCCTGAATTCCTGACAAAACAACAAAACCACCATCACTATCAATGGCATTACTTGAGATGCTTGGCATAACGAGTAGGACGTTTTGCCTTCTGATCTAAAAGTTTAACCTGTTGTATAGCGCTGCAAATCCACCTATACATACTGAATCTCTTCTCCATCCGGATCCGATGGGGGACAAAACCTCTGTTAACACTCGTCCACTTCAAATTTTAGGGTTTATATTGTTCCATTTCAGTTCCATGAGCTACCACCAAAGTAGGCTTTGAGAATGTAACTACATAGAATGCATTATCCACTGTGATAGAGAGGAAGTGACTACTCTAATATTCGAAATCATTTTTACATTCTTTAACAATCTGAAAATACAGAATGGAACCTTACAATGACTGTATAGAAACAATGGAAATACATGATCTACAATGCTAACAGATTAGTCTGCCAATAACAGCTCATAAAGCACTTAAATTAATTATTAGTAGCTTCATGTAAAGTAAAGGAGAAAGCTCTCCATTTCTTTCATCTAGTCATACACATTACAGTGAGCAACCCAATAGCATATCAAAGATCACCCACTCTGCATAAACTTACTTTTCAACGCGCTTTTTAATTATGCAGAAATTCGATCTCCAGTCTCCTAAATTGTCAAAAATTATTTCAGAACAACCGCTGCATTTCTGAGAGCGAGATACCTCTGAACATACTCATTTGGAAGTGATCTTATGAGCTTGAAGACATCTGTACCGGCATAACGGAGGTTGGTTCTTGGGTCAGAGTAAGGTGCCTGAAAATTAAATGTATAACTTTCTCAATGCATTTGGAAAGAAAGGTGCACAAAGCAATTTTTCCCGTAAATATTCAACTTGGCAGAGTAACGTAAGGAAGCAGGAAGCTTCATAAACCGAAATAAAACACATCATTATATATATTTTTGTTGAGAGAATATATATATATATATATATATATATATATATATATATATATATATATATCATTCCATATTCTTTTAAAAAGTATAAAAGATGTACCTATTTACTTTTTCCACGACATGGCATCAACGTCTAGTAGGACTGTAAAATGAACAAGTTATTACTCAACAGCCTAAGCTTATCCACAACACCACCACAATAGATAGCTCAATGTCACAATGTGGAACCAGCCTAATCACTCGTGGCACCAATTTATTGATCCAAGATCACCCAATACATAACCAATGTTGGACATAACACCACACGGACTCCCCAGACCAGACCATTGTGCCCTCACCAGTGGACCCACATTTCCACATATGACCAGTGCAATAGTTCCCCAACCAACACGTAGTACCCCCCAGGATTGGCTCCGATACCAATGTCACAATGAGCGGGCTGGTAACTTGTGGGGTTCCCCACACCCTTTTGTTAATCCCAAGATCAAGTACTCACCGACCTGATGTGGGATATAACACAACTATGTGTTCCTGACATCAAGCTGAGGCACCAACCTCAATACTGAATGCTATGTTAATTACTTGGATAGGTGTCTAAGTGTTAGACATCCCAAATTGCAAATTTTAGAATTATGAACTCGGCTTGAAATGTGTCCAAAGCATGGATACAAATATATGACCACATTTTGCACTCTTAAAAACATAATGTGATACTTAAAAGTGTGATGAATCCTACTATTTTTTTTTCTTTAATACTTGAAAACAATTTTTTAGTAAAAAACTAAATGAAATATGGTTATAAGAAGAGCGATTCCGTCATTTTAAGAAACTGCTTCGCCTATTAAATTTGAGTAATTTTTCTTCTTCCGTCATCCTAGAGGATCTAGGTGTCCAATTTGAGTACTACACGTGTTGGACACATATTTCAAACCCATGTCCATATCATGTCGTGTCTACACATGCCAAATATAACCAAGAACATAGACTAAACATCCCTCGCCACCGGGCAATGAAGAAGAAGGTGGTTCACTGATTCCTCCGTCTTCTTGCAAATGCAACACCAATCCACGACTATCTGTCGTCTCCTTTTGAGCTGACTTGTTAGGGGCATGGAGAGGGTGTATAGTGGATGCTTGGAGGGGCACTCCCCTTTGTTTATGGTGGGGTTTGTGGCATGAGAGGAATAGCAGAGACTTTGGAGGAGTGGATTCCCGTATTTGGTCTCTCAAATACAATATACTGTCTACTTTGTTTTTTTGGGTTAATGGGAGAAATTGTAAATCTCTGGGGCATCTTTTGGATTTTGTGGATAGCTTGAAATTATAGTGCCGCCTTGGGCATCTTTCGTATTCCTTAGGGAGCGCTACCTTCTTGAGTGCCTTTTATAAAATCTTATCAAAAAAAAATGCCATGTATAGACAGGTAGGTACATTGAGGGAAATAGGAGAGTCCATGTAACATAGACCAAATGATAAGTTTGGGGGCTGGCAGAATTGGTGTAGCCTATAGATGCTCTTCAGTCGTCGGATAATCAAGGCCATTTACTATAGTTTAATGAGGTAATTAACCATTTGAAAGATTGGAAAAGGGAAGAATGAAGTTGGCTGAAGTTGGACAGTATCATACATTAATAGTCACCATTTCCCTTATTTTTTATATGCGATAATATTGTAATAATTTTAAAAGAAGCGATTTTACATTAAAACTCAGTTCAACTTCCTCACTCGGATATCCTTATCTCTCTTTCCTTGACTTCTAGCTATTATATTACTGATTTAAAAAACATCATTGTCACATTAGCAAGATGTGAAAATAGTTAATGCTTTCTAGCATTTCCCTTTATGTTTTGAAGTTGAAGCAATTTTAGTTTAACTGAAACTTTTCCCAGTTACAAGAGCTAATGAATGGCCTAGATTAGGCAAGCGTCCAAGACAAACCTCAGCCAAACCTAATAACTTAAGAAGTTGCCAGAGCAAAGATACTGCTTAGCACAGTTCAAACTTCGAAGAAAGGGGGGGGGGGCGGGGGGGGGGGGGGGGGGGGTGGGGGGAGGGGAAGTAACCCAGTCAAGCTATATCAGTCATAATATGTGCCACAGGATCACCATAGCTAAAATCCAAACCTTATCAATTATCATATAAAGCTCATCAAGAGGAAAGAATCAGCAATAACCACATCTTGTCAAGTGAACTACATACCTCAAAACCTGTTACATCGCAAATTCGCTTGCAAGGATGCATGGAGGGTGGTGTCTCAATATTAACATCTGCAAAACAAGATCAAAAGGGGCAAATGTTACTAAATAATAAGTCGAACCTAACATTGTTTTTCTAAATACAATAACAGTATAAAGGATAAACATGATGCAATGTCAATCTAGACTTGAAGAAAAGGAACATCTAGCCAAAGACAGCAATGATGATACACTCACACACCCGTACTGCTTCATTCCAAGCAACCATCATAGGGTCTTGCCTTTTGGCTTGTTATGGAGTAATACTAAGCTAAGTGATTGAGTTCCTCTCTAGAGATGAGTGTAATTTCTTTTTGGTCACCCTTGTGAAGGTTTTGACTCGCTAAATTTGCCAATATAGCACTGTACATTAGCTCTATACTTTGGTGATGTAGAAAAAGAGACAAAGAAGACTACCACAGGCATGATGACAACAGATGCATATTCTTACATTTGACCCCATGGACTGCATAAGCAAAGATTTCAAACTTCTTACATGTCGTTGTCACCCTCAAAATGCTAGTTGGTATGTGACAGTAATTTTTCTTAGATGCACCACAAACGGCAAGATTTATCCTTCCATGTTGTGGGAATTGACTATGAAGTATTTCACTCATACCCAGAAAATGGGGTTTCACATTAGAATCTCTTCATCCTTATTCCTGACTAAAGGGGATCTTTGCTTGTTTATCCACAGCTAGAACACATGGGTTCCATCTGATTTCCTTATAATTGATATTTTTTCAAGCCGATAAATACCTTTAGTCACAAAGTTATTCCTTAATGCCAATCCAAAAAGTTGGATAAGCAGCGAACATGTTGTTGTTTCCTCTATGTAGTTGCACCTTGTTCAAGAAAATTAGTAAAGTATCTCGTCTTCTAAAAGGTTAAGGTGATAACTCTGCATGAAGCATTCTGGCTATCGCTGGAAGATGGATTCATACATACTTAGCCTGGGGATTGTTTCATTGAGGAAATTACATTTTAACTTCCTAATTGATAACCTCATATGACAATTTTACAAATTGGTAATTGAATTTTGGAATGGGCAACATTGTGGTGCTGCAGAATGTTTACTACAGTTTAAGTGATGGAAACCGAAAATTCAGCCTAACAGTTCGACAGTGACAAACTGTATAAAACTAGGCAAAGGTAGAACTCAATTCCACAATCTAAAAGTGAAACATATCATCAATCACAATCCCGATACTGCAAGCAATATGATCCACTAAGACTATGCTATACACAATTGATACTTTTCATCAAGTCAATTCAACTCAACTGATGAGCCCCACAGTGACAAACATTTGCTGGAATCAATTAATGATGACATATCAAACCAATTAAAGATGAATAATGAAGGGAACCCATTACAAGAGACTGGCTATACTATAGGTAGAAGTGTTTTGGGGAGCTTTTGGAAGGTCTAAAAGGACTTCTAAGGTCAATTTTACAGCAGAATAAGCAAAGAAGGGGGTCAATTATAGTAATCTTAAAAAATATACGCCACAATGAACATGAATTTCAAATCAAACAATCAAAAGTACTTATATGCATAGTATAATTGATAGATTTAGTAGTATAACAAAAAATAAATGTCAAAAATCTAAAATATGATGGTTTTCTTTTTCTTTTCTTTTTGTTTTTGGAATTATAGAAGCATAATATCAACAACTCACAATTGGGTTCATCAGGGGAATAATTTTGGTAATTCTCAGCTTGAATGATCTGCTTGAGATGTTTCCAATGCCTCCCTCTGGCTTGTCCCTTTGGAAACTTCTCATACATCTGAATCTTCTTGAAACTGAGGTGTGTCGGCAATACTATCTCGGCTTCGATTACTTCTGGTTCCATCTGCACAAATAACCTAGAAAAGGTTTCAACTGTATTTGTATCTTCAAGCGAATCTTCATCAATGCACACACCACCAAGTATGATTGTGAGAAACCCTAAACGTTACAACCGAGAGAGAGAGATAACAGTGTGTGGAAGAGAAAGTCAGGTTAGGGATAAATACGATGCCGTTTGATGGAATATCAAAGGTGCAACTGTGCAACTCGTTCTGGTGGGGTCACACACGTAGTAGCACACAATCTGGGCTATTTCTAGATCTCTTTTTCTTCGGCAATAAAATTTATTTTTATCTATCAAAATTAAAAAAAATGTAAATTTTTGGTCAATTCCAAAATTTATATACAAAACCTTTTTTTATTCTAATTACCAAATTGTTAGTTCCTTTTATAAAAAAATATTTTTTGTAGTATATTTTTTATTTAGTTTTTTACTCAGTGACTTTGGTAGAGTCATTTGCAAGGACGGATCCATGATTTCTCAATTGGGTGGGCTAAACATTAAACAAAAATTTTTAAGCAAAAAAAAAAAAAAAAAAAAGCTCGTCTAATATCATCCATTTGATTTACTAGGTATTCATGTATTTAAATACGTAACTTAGGATCTCTTTCATTTGAAGTGAAGTGAAGTGAAGTTGATTGGGTTCAACAACTTGAGGAAAGGCACGAGGTTGCAAATCAAGATCACTATGTATATCTTTTTTCAATTGATCATTTTCAATGTTAGATGCACTACCACTAGGCATATCCTTTTTCAATTGACCATTGTCACTCATTTGGCATTTCTTTTTGATAGAATGAGAGATTAGACATACTTTTCACTTTCTTGTTTGAAGGTTGATGTTGAGCGATTATTATTTTTAACCTAATAAAATTAAAGAATGAGTTAGATTAAAAATACCTAAATCAAAATATATCAACCAAAACCAACTGTTGTTTAATTCAATTTTAGTTAATTAACAACGTTTCTTTAGATAATTGATTGATTAAGGCATAGAAAGAGAAATATCAAATGGTCATCAAATTGACGTGTAACGTTGGTACTAGACCTCAAATAGTCATCAAATTGAGGCTAGGGATAATATCAATCTCGCCTTGGTAAAGTTGGTTAGCATAGGTGGGGATTGGGGTTTGTTTGAGACCAAGCTGGGGAATGGTTATGCATTGCATTGCATTAACATTCACAGTGTGCAAAGTTGTATCTATGCCTTTGATTGGATTGAAATGTGGTTTGAATTTAGTAAAATCCCCAATATATGACTCTGGTTCTCTTTTATCCCTAATGTGTATTGTGTGGCTTAAGGGAGTCCAAAGTTGGTGCCTTAGGCATCTCCTATTGAGCCTCCATGCTCACCCCTTCCTTTAACATTTTTCTGGTCACAGCAAGGAGGTGGTCGACGACGCTCCTCCACAAGAGTAGTCAACAATGATAAAACTATCTTTTGTAATTTTTGTAATCAATGTTAGTGTTGACAACCATTTTTTTGTAAAGTGACCATAATTCGATCATTTTTGTAAAGGGCATTGTATCTAGGGCTTTAAGGGCCTCAAACTTGAAATTCATTTTCTTTCTGACTATTTTGATGTAATTTGGGACATTTAACGGATAATTATATCACATGCTAATGATTTACACGTTCTTAAATGATATAGGTGCATGATGATTTGTATAAATGCATAGATTGATGGAATTTATTGATGTATAATCATTTATTCATGCTCGTGAGTTAGGACAGGGGTATTTTGGTCAAAAGACCAAATTATAGCTTGGGGACGGTAACAGAGATGAAAAAGGGAAAAAAGGTCCAGTTTCAGGGACCCCAAAGCGCTCACAGCCCTTGCTCCTTGCACTCAGGCCACTGGGCTAGGAATTCTAGTAGCGAAATTCCTTAGCCGAGCGCTAAGGGTGCCTTTCGAGTGCTCAGCGTGCACTGGGGTGCTCGTGGGCACCCTCCGAGCACCCAGGGGTGTCCACCGAGCACTCGAGGTGTGCACTGGGGTGCCCAAGGTGCCCTGTGAGTGCTCAGAGGCTGATATCGAGCGCTCGGCTAAGAGCTTTTGGGCACTGTTTTTCCCGTCCTTTTCCGATGGCTCGGCTTTTCCACGTGTGGGTCCTATTTGACCTCAAAAGTGTTTATAATGAAATAACTGCGTCTAATTATGAGCTTAAGGGCGTAAAATGACCATTTTATCCTTAGAAACCCTAAGTGGGTCGATTTTAAAATGAAGTTGATATCTTCATCTACATTGCACCAAAATGATTAGAAATGGCTATTACAACTTCATTTCGACTCCTAGTGCATTGTAGGGTTTATAATGACTATTTTACCCTTGGTGTTCTTAGGTCGGGTCAAGACCCGGTTAGTGATCCGGATCCCCCGGATTTGTGTCGTTACAATCGAAATGAACCAAATGAGTTTTTTTGGGTTCTAAACCTGAAGAAACGCCCTATACAACTCTCGGAACATCACATCACGCATCCCTATGCACAAATAAAATAAAAGAAAATGCTCAAAAAATGTCAAAAAAATCCAGAATGTCACAACTTGCATGCATTGCGTGTTTTCAAAAATTATGAGTTGCCAAAAATTTTCTAAGTGTTAAAACTTTTAGTTCATGTCTGACCAACGTGAATCGGTTCAAGAGCAGCTGAACCAATTCAAGAGTTAAAGCTTTGTTTTTTTTAAAAAAATCAATGGCCAACTTGAACCGATTCAAGGGCAACTGAACTGGTTCAAGGTTTGCAGTAGTCATTAGTAACTTTGTTTCCTACTTCATTTTGACTTCCTATTTTGCATTGACTTCTTTCTAAAAACCTATGCACGAATTCGACTTGTTTTCTAAGTACACTTTAACAAAGTACACTTAAACCAATATGACTTTTTGCTTAAAATTCAGATTTACATTGAGATCCTTTTCTGTGAGATTTTTAATTAAGAACATACACACATGAGTGAATTAGGGTGTTGTTCTATTCTTGATCGTGACTTAACTATTGAAGATTGCATCTACAACAATTAGAGAAAAGAGATCTGATTTCTTCTACATATTCATATTCGAAGAAGAAAATTTTCCGACCACACTTTGAAGGGATCAAGATGTTTGCGGAGTGTTGTTGATCTACCAGCAATCCTTCTACAAGGTTCGAAGTATAAGTTTGAAGTCGAGGGCTGTTGAACGGAAAGTCACAAAGCCTGGGCGTTCAACAGATTGAATCTTGGTAGAGTAAAGGGGTTTGAGTCCAAATCAAAATTTGGTGTATTTTGTTTCATACACAGTGGATTGTTTTACGCTTGAGACAACGAACAAAATCTCGAAGCTTTCAAATTGGTTTTCTCGTTAAAATCCAGTATCACTTTAACTTTACTTTCTCATTATTTTATGTGTGATTGTCAATTTACCAATAATTTTACTACTGTAAATATCAAATAAAGAAATATGTCATTAATTCCTCTTAAAACTGTTTTTAAAACTCAATTTTCCATAAAACATATTTCGCTGCACAACTCACAAAACTAACTATGGTTGAGTGGTTATTCAAATTAGAACCCATTGGAAACTTTGATGAAGTAATGATCAGCAATTTGGGCTTGTCCAACTGCATGACGTCAGGTGAAAGAAAAGTTCTCCCCAAGTAAGTCTCTCTCTCTCTCTCTCTTCTCAGTCTATCATATCGGTAAAATTATGATTTTCATGCTACAGGGACTGTTATATTTAGCACTTTCCTACCGGGTAATGAAGTTCCAAGCTGGTTGAGCATTAAGAGCATGGAATCTTTTATATGTTTTAAGGTATCTTCTTCGTTTCCTAATTTCAAGATCAAAGGCTTGAATGTTTGTGTTGTCTATGGACAAACTGATGGACATTCTGAGTAATAGGACGAAGACCTGAAGTGGACATACAGCCCAACATTCATGGGCATTCCAGATCATGGCAACGAGATGGTATGGTTAAGCCATTGGAATGTTGGGAATCAATTGGAAGCTGGCGATGAAGTGAATGTGGCAGTGTTTTTCCGAGAGAGTCTGAACGTGTGGCTTCTCTTCCTCTAGAGAATACATACTGACTTTTTTGACCATGCCTCTCCCTCCCTCCCTCCCTGTATGGTACTTGTATTTATACTTGGGCAGGTCACTGGTAATAAGTACACCAAACCTATTGAGCTCAACAACTTTGTGACATAATTATGAAAAAAACTAGTTGTGTTTCAGGAATTGTTCCTATGGAGAACATTGCCGTAAAAAAAAAAAAATCTGTTTGGGCTTTGTTGAGTTGGGGATCGAAATGTTTAAGTGGACTTTTTAAATTGCTTTACGATTTACAGTTATTAAAGTAATTGGTGCAGAGAATGTAGGAGTATATCACATCGAATCGGGAAGGAAAATGTGATTGGCTTATATGGGTGAGTATATATCATTACCCAATAACTTAAACTTTTTAAGGCAGAGGGTGGTATCAGACCAAATTCTTGATTTGATTTCATGCCAAGCTTGTGTTCGGATCCACAGACCGGTAGACAACTCCAGTAACAAATTACAAATTCTAAAGTGTCAATAGAAGGAATTTTTCAAGGGAGCATTGCAGATTAGTTTTGAAAATCTAAAATCATAAGCATTGTTCATTTTGTAAAGTCTATAAATGTTGATTTTCTAGATCCCTGCATGACCCTTAGACTCCCTTAAGGATAAAGACCTAGGTTGATATTGAGGTTAAGTCCATAGGATGGGGCGCTCGTCAAAACACCAATAAATATAAGTGAGGTAACCCTTTTACAAATTTTCAAGTTTATTACAATTTTTATGTTCTGTTTCTGTTTAATTTGTTGTTGTAAGTGAATGCATCCCTGACCTATGTTCTGTGTCTTGGTATATCTGTCAGATCAACCATCCAATTTGTTCTAAAAGTTTAAGCTAGTAGGAATTAAGCCATTCATAAATTTAAAATAATTATGATTAAAACTTGAAATATAAATTTAGTAAAACAGAAAATGTGATAACCAGATTTTTTAAAATTTTAATTTATAATTATTTTTGAATTCAGTTCAGTGGAGGTATAGTAGTAGTTATTTTTTTTTTATATAGTTTCTAGGGAAAATTACATATAAATGGAGTCAAAGTTCCATATTTACTTAGAGACTGAGTCAAAGTTCCATATTTCTCTAAAATGGATTGCTGAGGTGGCACATGTTTTTTACTGTTTAGAAAATTGTGGTGCCTAAAATGCCCTTCCCTAACAAAAAAGTAGTACCTTTAGTGCAAAAAAGTAGTACCTTCAGTTCAAAAAAGTAGTACCTTTGGAGAAAAAGTAGTACCTTCGCGGGTGTTTAAAAAACATGGTACCTGGACGCCAAAAAGTAGTACCTTCAGTTCAAAAAAGTAGTACCTTCGAAGAAAAAGTAGTACCTTTGCGGAAGGGTATTTTAGGCACCACAATTTCTAAACAGTAAAAAACCATGTGCCACCTCAGCAATCCATTTTAGAGAAATATGGAACTTTGACTCAGCCTCTAAGTAAATATGGAACTTTGACTCCATTTATATGTAATTTTCCCTAGTTTCTACGTGCGAGAGAGAGAGAGAGAGAGAGAGAGAGAGAGAGAGCAACAGCAGCAGAAAGTGGAGGGAGCAAAGAATGAATTGGAAATGGTGATGATGGCATTTTTGCGGGTCCCATTTGATATTTTAATTGGTTGGTTGATTTTATTACATTATATATATATATATATATATATATATATATATATATATATGGCAAGTTGGCCGATGGGGCATAGTGAGAGAAAGAATTGATTTTTTGATGGTGGCTTGTTGCGGGGCCCATGAAGATTTTTGGCCAAAGTTTTCTTCATGCTTTGATTTTCCTCACTTGGCTTTATTTTGTGGTGAGGGTTTGATGACTGAACGAAGAAGAAAGGATAAGGATGGAGTGGTAGGAATTAAGCCATTTATATAAAAGATGGCATTTTTTTGAGATCCTAGGTGTATTTTGATATATTTTGAGTCGAATAAATTGAGGATTTTATTAGAATTGTCAGGTCGTGATAGAAAATATATATGGAGATGTAATAAAGATCCAAGGTCAAGAAATACCAAAAGATTTTTTTATTACCTAGGCTCAATTCTTTTATTGATGGGAGGATCGAAGATGAAGCTGGTTAAGTTGAAGAGTGTTTATGGTGTATTGTGCGATCAGTATAAAAAGTTGAACGGAACATTTTTAAAGCTATGTTTGGGAGCACTGAATGAGCCCCTTGGACTCCAATTCAAATACCAAGGTGCCCATTTGGTGATTCCAAACACATCATAACAATGGGAAAGAATGTTGAGGTGGATGTATGTCAAGACAAAGAAGGATCAATTGGGGATAAAAATTAGCGGAAACTTACTAACATGGTTTTGGTAATGTTCAGCAAAAAAAGACGACTATACTAGTAAGGAAAAGTATGCTCTCTGTTGATGGCAATGATGGAGCAAAGAAGACAAAACTAACACGAGTTCATGTAGTAAGGAAGATATGATAGTGTGTAGTTTCATTGAAGTTATAATTAACCCTAGAAAGAGCAAATAATAATAAATCTCTAGGTCGATGTTGAGATCAAATCCATCGGGTGGGGCGCTCTTCAAAACGCCAATAATTATAAGTGAGCATTTGCAGCTTTATTCACCGCCATAGCACATTTAATGTGTGCCCCTAACAAAGACCAAGACCACACTGGCCAATAACAAGTTAGCAACACACAATAACACCATCACATTTAATGTATTCCATTCACTGCATGGAAAGACTTTCCTCCACACACATACACCAATCATTGTATACAAACTCTTCAAGATTTATTGTTACCTGCTTTCAATTCATTTCTTGGGGGGATTTTGCTAATTACAGGTAACCTTTTTACAAATTTTCAAGTTTATTACATGGATCATTAATCAATTTTTATGTTCTGTTTCTGTTTAATTTGTTGTTGTAATTAAGTGTATGCATCCCTGACCCATGTTCTGTGTCTTGGTATATCTGTCAGATCATCCATCCAATTTGTTCTAGAAGTTTAAGCTAGTAGGAATTAAGCCATTCATAAATTTAAAATAATTATGATTAAAACTTGATATATAAATTTAGCAAAACTGAAAATATATATGGAGATGTAAGGAAGATCGACAGTGACTTACCAAAAGATTTTTTTATTACCGAGGCTCAATTCTTTAATTGATGGGAGGATCGAAGATGAAGTTAATTAAGTTGAAGAGTGTTTATGGTGTATTGTGTGATCAGTATAAAAAGTTGAACGGAACATTTTTAAAGCTATGTTTGGGAGCATTGACTCCAATTCAAATTCTAAGGTGCTGATTTGGTGATTCCAAACACAGCATAACAACGGGAAAGAATGTTGAGGTGGATGTATGTTAAGACAAAGAAGGATCAACTGGGGATAGAAATTATCGGAAATTTACTAACATGGTTTTGGTAATGTTCAGCAAAAAAAGACAACTACGCTAGTAGGGAAAAGTAATGCTCTCAGTTGATGGCAATGATGGAGCAAAGAAGACAAAACTAACACGAGTTCATGTAGCAAGGAAGATATGATAGTGTGTAGTTTCATTGAAGTTATAATTAACCCTAGAAAGAGCAAGCGGTGAAATAAGATTTATGTAGCTTACGACAAATAATTGAGATGAAATTTTGTTGAGTTGAGTTGTGATAAAACATTTGTGATGCCACTTTGAAGCATTTTGTTACTGGATATTTTGTTACAAATGTTTCCATTTAATCCTTGTCTGTCGTATAATTCATTAAAGTATCTATCTTTTTAGCATTTCCTTGTGTACTTTGGTTCATCTATGGGATTTCGCTGACTTCGCTTAAATAAGTACTTAATATTGCCGATTTAATTTTTTGACAACTTACGCAAATACTGGTTGTGCCTATTACAGATTGCATATATCCATTGTTCATTGATCTAAGAGTGCTGTTCAGTGACTGCTATGGAAGCCCATAAAGCCTCCTTTACTCGATGTTCTTATCATGCATTCTTGAGTTTTAGAGGGGAGGACACACGGAATACCTTTATTGACGGCCTTTATACAGCTCTACTCGATGCAAGAATACGCACATTTAGGGATGATGATGGATTGGAGAGATGACAGAATATCGCCTTAGAACTAATGAAGGCAATCCAAGAGTCGAGAATTTCAATAATTGTCTTCTCAAAAAACTATGCATCATCAAGATGGTGTCTTGATGAACTTTTGATTATCCTTGAGCACAAGAAGACTGTTGGTCATATGATTCTACCCGTTTTCTATCATGTGGATCCATCCCATGTAAGAAATCAGTCAGGGAGTTTCGCAGAAGCATTTGCTAGACACGAAGAGCGATTTAAGGCAGAGACAAAAGAAATAAAAGAGGAAGGGTTGGACAAGATACAGAGGTGGAAGACAGCTCTAAGAGAAGTTGCAGATTTGGCAGGGATGGTTATAACAGATGGGTAATTTCCTTCTAAGTTAATAGAGTTGATTGAATACTTTCAATTTATTCATGCTATTAGATGCTAATTTTTCCCACTATCTACATTATTTGTTGATGCAAATGTTTTTGAACTAGTTAAAATGTATTGAAACATTATTAATACTTTCTGTATATATATCATTTATCAAAATGTTTTATGAATTTATATGTTTAGTTTTAGCCAAAGTATTGATAAAATATGAAATTTTAGCACCATCCAAAAATTGATAGAATAATTCAAGTAGATGCAGAAGACTTGCTATCCCATATGGATATGATATAGTATAAATGCATATGATATATAATAAATGCGATGATTTATTACAGTTTTATTTCAGAAGTTATGGAGTCTAGAAACTTATTGTACCAGACTGCTGTGAAACAAGAGTTACGTGGGGTGCGGAAACAGTTGATTTTAATTGTGATTAACTCCTTTAATGACCTAGATCTGATTATTAGGTCAACTTACTTAATTTATAATTGATTAAATTGCATGATCAATTAAACATCCACAATCATAAATATAAATACTGAAAAGTAAAACAATTTAAGTTTAGAGAGATTGCACCAGGATTTTTAGCGAGGAAACCCCGGTTGATAAAATACATCAACTGTTATGAGAAAAACCTCGTAGACTATGCAGTCCAAAGTAAACCAATCCACTATGTTTGAAACAAAGTATACCGAACTTTGACTCTGGCTCATACTCTATCGTTCTACACCACACCAACCGCTGACGATCCTCTGGCTTTGCGACTCCCCGTCCAACAGCAACTTGATCTCAGGCTTACACTTGATATTTGTAGAAGAGTAGCAGGTAGATTAGACAGCACTCTACGAATGCTCCAACCCTTTCATAGTGTGATAGCGCTTACTTCTGTTCTTCAAGATCTAAACTCGATTGTAGAAGAATTAAATATTGCTTCTCATTTGGAATATCTGAATCTTCAGTATAGCTCCAATTCCGATGAGATAGAGAACAACACCACTAAATCACTCATGAATATATGTGTATGCTCTCATAAATAAATTCAGAATAATCAGATTTGATTTTCTAAATTTTCTCTCTCTAGAAGGCTTTCTCAAAATATAGAATTGATTTTCCCTCAAGCCATCAACAACCAATGTATATGACAAGGTTTATATAGAGTTTTGAAAGTCCTAATCCCTCAGAAAATATGATAAATTTCGTGCATAGGGTTTAGAAGGAAACTGGGATAAAAAAGGAAACATCAGAAGAAGGAAACTGGAAACCTGATGCATCTAGGACTTCTTTGAACCAGTTCAACCATCTTGAACCTGTTCAAGATGGACAGTAAGGAATCCCACGAATTCTCTGAACCGGTTCAAGATGGTCAGTCTTGAAATTTTAGCATTCTGATGATGTTGAACATGTTCGATAGATCTTGAACCAGTTTAAGATGGACAGAATGTAAAAACTTGTTCCGAACCTTTCAAAACCCTTCCTAAATGTTCTCACTACCTCTCAAACTTCTTAGAGGGTTGTTCTCATCATCTCGGAGTGTAGTATATTTTGAGCACTTAACCTTCTTCAAATCCGTATCCGATCTTCAATCTTCGATATTTTTACATCAAAAATTACAACTCGATCGGACTCGTTTTGATATCGAAATTAGCCAATTACAAGATATATCTCACAATCTCCCCCTTTGGCAATTTCGTAACAAAACCCTAAAACAATTTAGCAATCTACCCAAGCAGGAAAGTAAATTACATTGAATGTTAAAGGAAAAAAAAACCGCGGACATTTTCTTGAACCTCATGAAGCTTCTACACATGTAGCAACCTGTAATCTGCACATTAGCTCAAACACAACTACCCGTGAAGCTTAATCAAGAAAATAAACACAAGCATAAAATAACAAAGCTAAAAATGCCCTGATGTCAATGCAATGGAATGCAATGAACAATGGTTCTCCCCCTTAATGCAAAAAGTATTTCTCCCCCTTAATGCAAAAGTATCTCCCCTTGAATGATAAAACTCTAATCTCTATCTCCCCCTTTTTGTCACAAATTAACAAGGGTCTTAAGGAAGACAAATCCTAGAAGTAGGAAGCAACCAACCATATAATTCTTGTAAATCGAACTCAATGAGAATGTAGACTCCACAAGATTAGATGTATTAAAAGAAATAACCAAGATCAATTCTTTAAGTTCCACAAACTTAGTAAGTGTAGTAAAATCACCACCAAGTTCCAAAAACAATGATCTGTCAATTGTTCAGATTTCAGATAATAAATCAATGATATCACATATTCTTAGAAATCAAACAATCAACATGTGCAAAAGACATTTTTTTTTCTCTCTTTGGGCTCCTTTTTTTTTTTTTTTTTTTTTTTTTTTTTTTTTTGCACACTGACGGCTTTCACGCTTATGGGCAGCCAACTCTTTCCCTTATTCTCATTTGTTTCGAGTCAAGGTAGCTTTTGGACAATTCCCAAAAGTAGCCTTTTCCACCTCACTTTTTTTTCAAAAACAGCAAATATTTGTCTTTCTTTTTCAAAAACTGTTTCATTCCAAGCTGTTTTTCAATTTTCTTTTTTCTTTTCACTCTTTTGGTCTAAAACACATAAATCAAGTTTAAACCCCAAGACAATAATCAATCATATCAACATTATCTTTGACCAAAACAACGAAATCTTAAGTAAATGTATTATCAATGACTCATTTACTATACGAAATAAGTAAGCAAAACCAATTTCATCAAATCATAGCCATTGTATGCTTTCCACAGATAATCCATGTGTCATTAAATTCCTTGTGTTCAACATACTCAATCAATATGGTTTGCTTTACTTTCCATAAACATAATCTAGACACTCAAGATATGCATGAAAATCCTTTCTAGACTATGTCTTTGCAATGCATCTAATCAAGACAACAAACACCAATAGATTTCCTAAAATTAGAGAACTTAGGAGCATCTAATGGTCTAGTAAGAATATCAGCCAAATTTTAATCAGTATGCACTTTTTCCAAAGACACGACATTTTGTTCAACAAGTTCCCTAAGAAAGTGATGTCGAATGTCAATGTGTTTAGTCCTAGAATGCAAAACTGGATTTTTTGAAATATTTATTGTACTAGTATTATCACAAAAGTTAGAAATAGTATCTTGATCAACTCCATAATCCAGAAGCATCTGTTTCATCCAAAGCAATTGTGTGCAACAATTTCCAGCAACAATGTATTCAGCCTCATAAGATGATAAAGATATGCAATTTTGCTTCTTGCTGTACCATGAAACAAGATTAGTACCAACATAGAAACAACCACCGGAAGTACTCTTTCTATTATCCTTGTTTCCAGCCCAATCAGCATCAGTATAGCCTGCAATCTCAGAGTTAGACTCAGAAGAATAACGCAATCCATAATTCAATGTACTATTGACATAACGAATAATATGCTTGACTGCAAGGATGTGTTGTTCTCTAGGATCAGCTTAATACCTAGAAACACCTACACTAAATGAAATATCTGGCCTAGTTGCTGCCAAATACAACAAGCTACCAATCATACTCCTATACAAGAAATGATCAACCTTGTTAGGATCAGAGTCTCTATTCAATTTGGATGAAGTACTCATAGGAGTTTGAATATGCTTTGAATCTTTCATACCAAAATTTTTAACTAGCTCCTTTGCATATTTTGATTGAGATATGAAAATCCCATCATCAAGTTGTTTCACTTGGAGACTTAGAAAGAAAGTTAGTTCACCAACCATGCTCATTTCAAAAGTATTACTCATATCTTTAGAAAAATTATGAATAAGGTTATCACAAGTAGCACCAAAAACAATATCATCCACATATATTTGAGCAACAAGAAAATCTTTTCCTTTCCTGAAAATAAATAACGTTTTATCCGCTCCTCCTCTTCTAAAGCCCTTGTGCAATAGATAAGAAGTCAACTTCTCATACCATGCTCTAGGTGGTTGCTTTAAATCATAAAGAGCCTTTTTAAGATGAAAAACAAAATCAGGATTATGTGGATCAATAAAACCTTTCGGTTGTGCTATATAAACTTCTTCCTGCAAAATACCATTAAGAAAAGCACTTTTAACATCTATTTGAAACAATTTGAATTTAAAGTGGCATGCAAGAGCAAAAAGAAGTCGAATAGACTCAAGTCTAGCAACAGGTGCGAAAGTCTCATCAAAATCAATTCCTTCAACTTGAGTGTATCCTTGTGCAACTAACCTAGCTTTATTCCTCATCACAAGACCATGTTCATCAAGTTTATTTTTAAAGATCCATTTGGTCCCTATGATATTAACATCACTAGGTTGAGGCACTAATTCCCAAACATCATTCTTCACAAATTGAAGCAATTCTTCTTGCATAGCCATAAGCCAATCAGAATTTTGAAGAGCTTCATCAACATTCTTAGGTTCAAACTGAGCCATGTGACATGAGTGAACTATATCATCTACAATGCATGAATGTCCTACATCATCACGGATTGTACTCCTAGTACCATGCTTATTCCAAGGACCTATCACATTATCAATTGGATGACTCAATCTAACTCTAGAACTGCTCGATGTGGGAATATCTAGAGACGGTGCAGGAACTCCTATAGGTTCATCAGTGGTAACCTCTAATTCCTCATCCTTATCTTCTTCAACCTCTTCACCTTCTCCACCTAAATCCTCAACTCTTGCTTCTTCTTGAATAGCAGGTACTTTCCTTTCTCCTGCAATTTCAAAATTAGTTTCTTCTTCATTAAGTTGAGAAGAGGTTATCTTAGATTTTGTATCATCAAATACAACATTTATAGACTCCATGACCACTTTGGTTCTAAGATTAAAAACTCTATAAGCCTGACTAGTTTGTGAATAACCCAAAACACACCTTCATCACTTCTAGAGTCAAATTTTCCCAAGTGTTCCCTATCTCTAAGGATATAAGATTTACTTCCAAAGACTCTAAAGTATTTAACAGTGGGCTTTCTATCATACCACAA